AGATTGGCACATTTATTCATTCAAAATGCGAAATGAAGTTAGTCGGTATGGAATGGTTTCAAGTAATGCTTTGTTTTTAATAGTGTATTATCATGTAGACAAATATTATCACCCGGTTATCTAATCAATAATTATTCAACAAACTCCAATAATACGATCTAAATTACATCGAGTAGGTAAGTTGATAAAAAACATAATATGATTATCGGTTACAACAAATAACACAAAGTTATTATACCACGCTTTCTTAATAGATCACATACAGTTCGTTCAAAAACTTATGGCTAACTCTTTAAAAATATCTGCAACGGAAAGAGAACGATGAAAATCCCTCCGCAGCCTTTTTTGGACAATACTGTCATTTGTTTGTTTCTTCTTCCTGTCGTGCATTTGAACCTTTGTTCAGATCTCGTTCAACCACACCTTATGTTCTTCAGTCTTCCTTGTCTAAGCTTTTACTATGTGGTTTTGATCAAAGACTTGTCATTTGTTACCCAATTTTCTATTGCACGTTGCCGGACTATTGACAGTAAGGTAGTGTTTGACTAAGCTCAAGGTCACGGCGCTGTTCAGTGTGTGGCTGTTAACCTCTTGACTGTCTGCTTGGGAGGATTTCTAGGATCCCTGCAGATAGATATGTGATCCGATCCTGTTGGAATTCTTTTCAATGATTCTCAGGCATCGAACTCTTTGGTATTAACTGTTTCTTTCATTGTTTAGCGCACTATTTCGCGCTAGAGAAACCTTTTACTGTATAGGACAGGCTGTACCGTTTGAGGTATTTTGTATTTTTGATATAATTTGTTCTATTTCCTAAAATTAGAACCGTTTTGAATTGAGCACAGAGTTTGTGTTTTGATATAATTTAATACGAATATTTCAAAAACGCCTCGTACGCTATACAGAAAACTGTAATCCAGCCTATTCGAGTAAACTTTGGTTCGTCTGTCCAGCGTTCAAACCGAATACTGGCCGTTTGGTCGTTAGATATCAATAAGAAGAGTATCAGACACTAATTGTTGCAACACCAAGCGTTTCCCGTTCTGAAAGTGTACGTTAATTCACAATCAAGCCATGGACAATCTCACTGCAGACAACACAACGGAAAACGAAGGGCGAATCAAAACTGAAGCCGTCATAATCAAAACGTTGTGTAGAAAAGCGTAGATGTTGTCATCAAGGTCATAGAGATTCATCAGAAACATAAGAATAGCAACTACAGTAAATAATAGATGGTAATCGTTTAGTCTAGAACAAGACAATCAACGGAATACGCAGCTGAAGGGATAGGTAAGAGTGACCTCATTTTTTGAATTAAGGCGACAAGTTACATGAAAAGATTATCTTCATAAAGGTTATTACATACATATCCACACAAACGTCCGAAAACGATCTTATAGTCAGTGTTCCAGCGCCCCTAACGCGCTTCTTTGATCGGTTACCGTTTCAAAACCATTTTCAACATTGCTAGCATTTTTCTTCGGCAACTCCATCGAAAAGCTGGCAACACTATCAAACATGTTTTTGGAATTTATATTAGACGTGCCACATATCTACTTGCCACCCAACTCACCAAGTCCTTTGCAGATGGCTTCTGTGAAACCTGTTCATGCTCCACGAAATCTCATTTTATATTTATCATATTCCATATCATATTTAACGGCGTATCAGTAGTCAGACCAACTGTATGTTGTTTACTGACCATGATGAATTATAAGTATGAATAAACTTGCCAATCGAGATAAAATGAAAAGTTTGCAAACGTGAAAAAAATCACACTTGGAGTTATATACAATTGAGATAAGCTAAAACTATCATTTTATCCTGAAAAACTAAACGCCATACTAAAAGCTATTATTGTTAGATGCAACTCGGAAAAATAACCTAACGAATGCAGAGCCCAATATAAGGTTTTTGAATTAAAAATATTACTTTGTTTTTTATATGAAGTGATCATGCTAAAATATTACTAACAAATGGAAATATTCGTTTTCTACTATCAGGCTGGAATATTCAACCTCCTCAAGGAGCATAAATTGCGTCTCCTCTTGCTGGCAGATAGTTGATACAAAAAATCTTGCAATCATGGGCCACTGCGAGGTAGACCTGGGTGTCCCAACCAGATTCTCTCTATTTAGTTGCTTCAACAGCGATAAAAGCACACACATTCACTTACAAACACAGAACTAGCATGAAAAATACTGTGAACTTGAGAATTTGATTGCTAGGCGGTCTTACGGTTTTGAATGTTTTCTAGACTTTATTTTTGTGTTGCATACATTTCATCACTTTTATTATTCCTCCCTTTCGAAACTGACATCATGTATACTTCCTCCATTAATTGTCCACCATTCCATCTTTTAGTCTATTTAGTAGAATACTCAGTGACAGCATCTTCATAAGTACTTACACTATAACTACAAGGACGGCTAGCAGAAGTCCTAATGCGGGGGTCAATAGGTCAGAGACCCATATATCTAGTAAGTTGGTTAAAAATAGGTTCAAAACGGCTTCAGACAACGAATCTCAAAGAAAGTTGTACTATTGTAAGACCTAGACTCCAAAACTAAGTATCCAGCTAAGCAATTGAGATCACGCTCCTACTCAGATTATTACTACTACTAAGACCACTATGTAAAGGAGAAATAAGATGAGTGTCTAAAACCCACGATAAAACAGGAGGAAAAATACGAAAACGATGACTGTACCGCATGCCTGTCGCTAGTCAAACCTCGGATTCGGCATTCGAATGTAATTTCTGTGGCTTCTGGATTCATTGTCATTGTGGTACTACAGTACTTAAGCTGTACTGAGGGTTCATGTTAGATTATTCTTGTTCATGGTTTTGGAACCTGTGCCCACTATGTAGAAAAAATACACATTGAACATATGCCCGCATCGAAAACATTCGTACAAATACCCACCAGTATACGTAGTTAGTCCGATACAGATCGATCTAAACTCGTCACTATGGAAGCTGCAACCCAAGGTCGAACAACAATAGACTTGCCGGATATTCCACGTACTCCAGTCACTGTTAGTATAAACGAGGGCCGAGTGAATGATTAAAAGGAATATGGCAAGAAACATCATTCGCTGACCTCACTTAGTGTCCCAGTGTCAGAGGGTAGTTTAATCGAATGTATGATAGGCTTTGACAAAGAATGATGTTGCAAATACTGCGAAACGCTACGAATGAACGCCACTCCCGGCAAACTTCGATGCTTGTGTAAAACCCGAAATGCAACAGAAGGTAAACCTCTTCCATTAGGGTGGCTTTAAAATCAGCATACATCAAAGATGTCTTAGTGATGTTTGAGTCACCACTGATTGAATAATCTTCCTAGGTCTGAAATGGAAACGATAAGTTGTGGAGCGAGATTGATGACATTGGATCGCCAACAACCCCCAAGGAATAGTCAGTATAGTGGTTCATGGAGGCTCTGAGATACCAAGTGGCAGCCTGAGTGAGGTGAAACAGGCGTAAAAATGCAACGGTGACGATAACTGTCAAATAGCCTGGGCCTTCACACTACCGTGGCAATTAACATATATATCTACTTCCTCTTCCCTCGCACATCACGACCATTAGGTCTTCCTATCTAGAGGTTGTGAACTTCAGAAACGGAGAAAAACTTGACTGGTGTTGTTAATAGACCAAATCTTTATGCCAACTGACATTGATAGTCAACCCACGCCATAGGGTACAGAGGCCGCTGTCTCGCTAATAAAACATGCAACATAAGAAAAAGAATGTAGCGGTCGATTCGCACAGGACTGGCTCGTCGATCTTAAATAGAAGTATCTTTTCAAAACCCAGAGAACGGATGGTGCTTTTATGGGATCTCAAGCAATAGGGAAAAACCACAAAGTCCCTGTGTAGCAACGTAAGTAGACTAGAGGGTAATTAAAAGAGATAAAAATTATTTTCTCACAGTCAAATTAAAAGATAAAAGTGATAACTGAAACGTGTCTCACTCCTGAAAACACTGCACGATATGATACTGTTTCGATGTGATAAAGTACAGAATAACGTGGGCAGAGTGGTAACATATACTAAAAATAATATCGAAGTTACAATACGACCGAAATGACAGAATCATACAGGTGTGACTATATGGCGAACGACACCATGTTCTTGATTGAAGGGATATACAAAGCCCTCAGCTGTACTAACACTACAGACGGTAATTCAGGAGCTATTAAAGATGCCACACCTGAGTTCGACTTCATACTTCTGGCCTGAAAACTCAACACTCTGTCCAAGAATCTCGTAAAACGGTGCAAATCATCAAAGGTGGTTTCATAAGCGACTTATCACAAGTATTGTAATTTGAGGCTGTTTACAAACAAATGGTCAGCCTCTAGTTAATGATTTGTATTCAAAAGAATCAATAGAGAAGAATGACTGGCAATATATATATATATATATATATATATATATATATATATATAATCAGTCGAAGTGTCATCAGACGACTAGTCAGTGGATAGCATCCAGGGGAGACTTAGCAGAAATGTAATCACGAATGGATTACCGTCTTCCGCCTAAAATAACTGTGCCTGTTGCATGCCACACAGTTTATAACCAGTTGTCACCGCTTCATGACACTTATTCCTATCCTATTTGCTTGTCGTTACTGCTTCTCTTTATGACTTACGCTTCGGTCACCTAACATTGGATTACTAACCAATGAACCCTTTTCTTCATCTCTTGAAGCAACATACGTCCTACCTGATAATATGACAAACACTAGAACCTAAAACACTACTACGTTGAGAAAATGTTGACAAAAATCACAAGGTAAACAAATCCACATATATAAGTAACTACAGTTAGTGTGATATGACTGTTGTGCTGTACACTAATGGTCTCGTCAACGAATTGTAAGGCATAAAAAAAGCGAATTGATTCGCACAAGTTCAAGTCAACAATAACAACTATTGATTAATAAAAATTTGTTTTAGTTTATCAACAAGATATTGAATGGCTGAGATCACAGCCGCTCACTATTTGAAGCAGCGTGGTCAGGTATAACGTGTTGCTGGGTCTGATATACGACACGTCGTACGTTAATTATTGGGTTGAATAAAGTTAACTTGTTAATAGTGCTACACGCTCAGTGGATATATAGTCGTTCGTTTCTAGACATCGAAAATGATAAATATTAATACAAGATCAGGTAAATTCGTATTGACTGTCATATTCGTAGTTCTACGACCTGAGTACTTATATCACTCCTTCAACTTTTCTGCTCCGTCTACTCTCAGAAATTATGATTGCATTTCAAGTAAGATTAACACAAATACTGCACCTGTCTATTGCCTAGAAGGCAAGTCGTATGTTAAAAGGTTGCGTCCTGATAATAAACGAGGTAAGTGCAATAAAGTGATAACTCATTTCCTCTGAAGTTCATCCATACAAAAAGCCCTTTGGGAATTTTGCGACTAGCACAACCAACCCACCTGACAAGATTCTGTGGCCTGGGACTTCGAACAGATCAGACTCATCGGATTCCGAAGGTGTTTCTCAAGAAAATTCTTCTCCATCCCTATCGTATGTGTCTAGGTATTCATCTGAATCTACGACTCAAAGCTACGAAACTAAATCTCATGTAAATGATGTTCAGTCTGTTCGAGAAGGTAACACATCACATCCTAGGTCGCATTCTCATGGTCAGGCTGAACAAATTCGAAGATCGCGTGAATCCATAACATTTGCTCTTATCGATGCCCAATTATCAATACCACCTCTTAGTCAAGTTAGAGATATGTACTTGCAAACTCGAAGTGGTTGTGGAACATCAAACTCTACAGCACGAACTACCAAAAAAGCGAATTTATCTGTTGTGCATACGGTTGTCAGATTCAGGATTAAAGAATACCTTATTGAGCTGCGTGAACATATACGCCGTTCGCTCGATACGTTGTTCTACAATTTAGTTGAGAACTATGACTCTAAGTCCAGAGATACTTTGGCCACCGAAATCCTTGGATTACCAAGTCGCCTATGTTCCCCTGATTGTGACTTCTGTTTAGATTTACTACCAAGAAATGAGCGTTGCCGAACTCAAAACTATGATTCCAACCGTGCGAACAAATATCCAACTCAGCTGCTTGCGCAAATATCCAGCACTAGTCGTTCACCAAGTCCTTTATCAACCAGACCACAAATATCCATATCTTTGCCATCGAACGAAACGCTTCGCTCTCAGACTCCTCCCGACTCAGCCTCATGTGTGGGTTCCGATATTGATGTGCCTCCAGACATTAAACCTGCAGAAAGTTGCTTTAATGATAATACTAATGCAATTCTCAACACCAGGTTAAATCAGTCCTTATTTCTAGATTCATCTTCTGTGTTGGAGAGACCCTTGCCATCGTACCACATAAACGTTTTTGATTCTCGGAACCACAAACGTGTCAGACTTGACAGTACATCGCTTCGCCTCTCCAATGAATTTGATTATACAGATTGGACTGCAGATGATATTGACTTCGGTCCGTGTGGAGAAGAGCTTGTTGATCTACATTCTCTAGTTTTTGATTCAAGTTCAGATATCCCATCAAAGCTCGATGAGACTTTTTTTGACCCCGCTTATGACGTCAGTGATTTAATGCATCACTTCACGATGGACAAATACCACAGTCATCAACTTGCCATAAGTCCATAAACACGTGCCTCTTCTGTACAGTTACTATCATGCATGCTTTTTTCCCTTAGCCATTGCACTTTTTATTCTACTCGTTGATTTTCTTCATTCCGCCTCGACTTTGTACATAAAAAACGATACAAAACTCATTTTGGTTAACTTTTGCAGATTATATATTATCCTATTCGTTTTTTTTTGTACATTTGCCATATACGTTTTGCACTCGGCTGTTAGTCGCTATTGTGTACAATTTTTAAGCTGAGTGGATCAGTAGTCTTTTTGTAATTTCGAATATTTCGTTTTTCAGCAGACAAATATAATGCGTATATGTTTTTAAACACTTCCTTCCTTAATGCGTATAGTTTCGCCTTATCAGTTGTTGCCTTCAATATGGTATCGCAAGTCTTCTCAGATGTCGACAAAAAGTGTCATGCTGTTGACATCCGGTCAATTATCACACTACGTATTCTTGGAGCCCTGTATAGTCATGTCCCAAATGAAGTTACATGTAGTGTTATCGTTACGTATGTTTCACAGTGTGAACCTTGTAAGCTGAGGGTAAAATAAATTTTCCTATTCAGAGCTATTAACTAAAGAGAGCATGTTTTATAAGTGAACAATTTACTTTGATGTCCTAGGGTCAGCTGTGAACATTTCTCTATCGAAGAATTTGCCTAGCAGTAGGCTCTGTCCTTGACGTATAGAATAATGGCTACACTGACAGTGTTCGGATGACAACGCTTACAAGTATTACAACGTTATCACTAGTTCATTGAGTACTGTCATGATAAAATAAAGTGGTGTTCAAGTGTATCGTTATTTTATGGTTATTCACTACTTAACCGCGCAATATTCTGGACATTTACAGTAAGTAACGGGTTTCAATGCGCTTAGTGATGAACGGGGACTGTTTCGAATGTTCAATCATATTCAGGTTTTTGTACAAGTTCGTACTGGTTTTTCGCTAGTGATGCATTGGGTGAGCAGGTTTTTGGTATTGAAATGAATGCAGGCGATTTCGTTATCATTCAGGTCCTCTTAGTTCTAATGAATAATGTTAATCTAACTATTCTGAAGAGTGACATTCTACATTTCCATGTGAGGGTCTACTCAAGATTGATTTCACCTAATATCGGTTTGTAGTGTGAGTCTTGAACACTGAAGATAATCAATTTCAAGGCAGTAATTTTCTATGGTTAAAAGTTTTTCTTCTGTTCACACTTAAACTCTGATAAATGCGGATTGAAATTATCAGTTCACACCGAATAATGAACAAGTGTCTTTGAAAATGTCCAGTTTAATCACTATCGAGTAGATGCCATTGTTCTAATGAACCTTAGTCTACAGTTGTTTGTGGACTGGTTTTATTAACTAAGTTCCTCACAACACTTGTGAAAACACTTCAAGAATACAAGTTTATGGTTAATAATCATTTTTCCAAAAATCAAATTCTAAGGATCAGACGTGTCTCGTTTCTCATCCCCTCAATAAATGATTTTATCGTTATAGTCAGTGCATTCATCCTTTCCATTGTTTATTTATTGTTATGTTTCCTGATAAGAGTACTTTGTTGTCTTCGTTATCTCTTGGTCGTTATCATCAACGATCAGGTTCATAAATAATGCAGCCCTATTCCGCTTAATATTGTGTGTAAATGTTTATACAGTGGTAGAAAAATGACAAATCGTCCTATACGTTATCATTTTGATATCGATATGATTTTCAAAGGGGTCAAGTGCGTTCATGTGTCTGTATGTTGGATGTGTTTAAAAAGTCAGTGTTATTTCTCGTGTGTAGAGAATCTCATGATGAATCTTCAGACCGTGATATGACTGACCACAACATGAATCCAGCTAGTTTAATACATATTTTCAATATGCAAAGAGTACAATATATTTGTATTGCCATATTTACTTTAAATAAACTATAAGCACGAAATTGATAGAATATCTCTTATGAAATTTGACCATCTCGAGTCATTGCAACTGTGTTCACTGCTATGTCATCATTAATAGATTTCATAATCACTAGAGTAAAGTTAAGTTTAAAGTTTGATTCTCGCCAATAATGACCCTGATTAACCGGCCCGTTTCATCACAACTTCACCTGTGGATCGCAACCTAGGGATATGATGTTAAATCCCTATTCAAAAGACCTAGAAATCCTGTTTTTGTCTCATAGGTAACTAATGCTGAGAAATGAGTTTCGTGCTTAACGTTTATGTAATACTTCATAGTTTTAAGTTCACTCCAACCAATACCAAGCTATAAGGAATATTAAGCTCACAGTGCAGTGATCTTGACAAAAGCTTCAGATTAATTTCCAGACTGTTAAACTTAATCATTTATCAATCTTTTTGCTTGAAAAATTAAATGATCAATCTTCTATACAATGACGTCATCGCTTCTAGACAAATTTCACAGAGTTACTGTGGAGACGACGGGTTATTTTGTTTGCGAATGACCTAAATATTATTATAACTGCTAAGCTAATTAATCAGCTCTTCAAATGAGACAGACTATATGCATTAGAATTGTAGATGCGACTTATACAGTATCGGTAATCTTTATGACAGTGTTAATACGCCTTAGGAATATAGTGAAAGCTGATCAAAATCACTCTACAAACTATTATTAATTTTGAATAAATTATTCTTATTGTTATAGTTAAGGAGTTTTTTTATTAAATTTTCATACCATATTTCATCTCTAGATAGTTGAGATAAATTTTTGTCAATGAATATTACTCAAGTTAAATTAATCACAATTTACATTTTTTAATTTGTATGCCATCAAATATCATAAAATTTTCCAAATGTGAGTAGTCATCAACATATCGATTTAGAATAGTTTTAATGCATCAGTGACTAGAATACTCCAAGTTGTTTAGATAGCATGATCATCTACAGTTATCATAACAATTATATGAAGGCCATCCATCAACAAAAGTACTAGATTATTAGTGTACTTTAGTTACCGATACAGGTCTCATAGTTAGATCATAACACATTAGGTCAACAATTATATGAGCCATTCTTACCCATAGGACCACATTTATCATTATTTATGAAGTTTATCACATAAGTCGATGTGATTATCCATTAGCCAGTGGACTGATAGTTGTGGACACAGTTTCATTAAATCGAACTTTATGTCCTGGGATGAATCTCGGTATCATGGATAGTTTATCGCTTCTAGTGATAGAAAACCCATATAGGTAAAATTTCAAAATTTTAATTGAACTTCAGATTGGCTCTTGGAACACTAACCATTGTATCATCCGTATTACCTGGTTTACAAAAGCAGGTAAATTATCGGATTTACAGACGGTAATTATTGCTTGGTACACCTAAAGATTGTATACCGAATGTAGAATTGAGTTTAAACGTAGTAAATATACAGTTTTCAATGTGGTATTTAGGAAACTTGTTCCAATTCTTATAATAAATTCATTGTCCAAAGACATCATCGCTAATGTGGTGGATCTTTCAAATGGCAATTTTTTTAAGTCTAAAATTAAGTCATAGTTTATATTTTCTTATTATGACTTCAAAATACTTATACTTTCCGAAGTAATTGTTAATAGTGAGAAAATCTCCTCATTCACATTAATAAAAGTAGTAGTAGGGCGTTCCTGTGAAAGCAATTTCATATGTCGGCGTTCAATCTTTTTCTTATTTTACGGAAGTTATTCGAAGTACACCTATCAATAAACACTTAAAAAATCATTATGGCTGTTAACGTTTTATTTGAAGAATTATTGATATTAGACTTTATTTTAATTATTTGCTTTTGCCGTCTATTTATTAAATAATTAATAGTTGCCCAACTAATCAGGAAGCAATATAAAGAAAGCTTGTGAATTTATATATACATTTATTCCATTAATTTTCGTTAAGAAACTTCAAATATGATAGTAAGAGTAATGCATTCAATGAAATTCTGGTTGAATTTAACAGAAAATTTTTTTGGTAGTATTCAAATGTGTAAATATTGGCAATGAGAAGGGTATTATTGCTTGTTACATTGATGAAACTCACTAGATAAGACGAGGTTACAGTACTTGATTTTGATTCATATCCTTTTATGTGAAGATTAATAATGCTAGAGTCTACTCAAACACAAATTGATTGAACAGAATTTGAAGCTTTAACCAAAAATGTGTTGTTGTAAGCTCATCAAATGATACTTCGACTGAATTTTAGAAGTTAAACAAAACTTTAATTGTCTTTACAATACAGATGTAATAATATAATTTTTCATGTTATTCTTTATATTTGTCATCTCTTCAGATTGTTACTTCTCCATTAAATAGTATTTCTATCTATCCATTACTTCCACCTTTCTTTTCTCTCTGATCGCGTGACTAGGCAAACATTTCAATGAATTTAATAAACGATAAAACAAACACAGTCACAAGACTACAATTTGTAAGAATAATATTTCTATAATGGTTAAAAATTAAAGTGTACTCAATAGTTCTTTTTCCTATTATTGTTTTTTTGTAAATCGAATCCTAAGATTACTCATCAGTACAGAACTAGACACCTTATGCAAATCAATACAAGGAATTAGAGGTTTCACAAACATATCGTTCATGTATTTAATATTACTAACTTATTAATTTTATTTTATGAGAAATTTAATTTATAGAAAATGACAGTTTTTGATTAGTTGTTCCCTTAATCATTAACTCTCATGGCTCAACATGTGAATATCACTATGTAACTGATAGCGTTATGAGACTTTGATTAAAGTCCTGCCCAGCTCATCGGATGAATCCTTAAACGTGATGGAATATAGATTTCTGATTCCATTGTAAATTACCAACTAATACCGTTTAATTTGTTTTCTTTTTGCTATCGCTTTTATTCACTACGGAGATACCAAATTCCATCTTTCCAAGCCAGCTAATCACTATCAATTTGATTAATTACCATTATAAGATACAAAAGTGAGCGAAAGAAAGTGATACATCGTCTCTATTGTAGTCTATAAGTTTGGTAACAAGATCAAGAATAGAATAGGAAATTGAGATAAAAGCCTAGTCATTCTAATTCATTTGTTGTACTCATATGGATTTAAATAGAGAAGTTTGACTGGTTGATTCATTCAGTTATTTAATTGAATCAAACGTCTAGACAGTTCAGTGACCTTATGGGAATTCAATTGTATAATAAATGAATGATTAAGTGAGAAAGTAATCTAACAATAGTTTGACATTGACAATAGTCTGAATTGATCTGACTTAAGTTTTCATTTTTCATTACATCATCTATGAAAATAGAAAGTGATCTGTCAGCCCATACTATTTTGAACAGTTTGGTTGTTAACTG